AAGGTGATGAGATTAGATGTAAAGGTGATGAGATTAGATGTAAAGGTGATGAGATTAGATGTAAAGGTGATGAGATTAGATGTAAAGGCAGCAACAGTGGATTTATGAAAGGAGACCACATGTAAAGGTGATAAGACTAGCTCTAAAGATTGAGACTGGGTGTAAAGGTGACAAGACTAGATGTAAAGGTGATGAGACTAGATGTAAAGGTGATGAGACTAGATGTAAAGGCAGCAACAGTAGATTTAAAGGAAAGGAGACCACATGTAAAGGTGATAAGACTAGATGTAAAGGTGATAAGACTAGCTCTAAAGATTGAGACTGGGTGTAATGGTGATGAGACTAGATGTAAATGTGACCGGACTTGATGTAATGGTTTTGAGATAAGATCAGAAGAGATCAGATGAGATGTGAAAGTGTCACTGAATGGTGTCACCTGTTTGAATGATGTTGTGAACTTAAAACAATTATGTTTTTAAAAATATGTTCTGTGCTACATTATTTTCAACACTGGTTGCACTCTTTCCAACAAACATCTAAACGCATCCTAAAAAACATTAATGTGTCAATTTTTTTGTTTTTGATTTAGAATAACATCCCTGGAAGCACCATGACACGCCGCAATACATATGTGTGCACAGACCGCTCAGGCGTTGACAGGCACTCTCTGCTGCAGAATGGCAAAGAAAACAGGTAATATTTTGTGTTTAATCCATTCATCATCTTCTGTTTGTTGTTTTCTTCTGGGGGTCGGCAGCTTGATCAAAGAGGACCAGACCACCTTTTCTCCAGCCAACTCTCACAGCTCTTTTGGGAGGATTCCTAGGTGTTCSCTGACCAGCTGAGAGACATAGTCTCTCCAGAATGTTCTGGGTCTTCTCTGGGGACTCCTGTCAGTTGGACATGTCCAGAACACCTCTCCAGGGAGGTGTCCAGGAGGCATCTTTACCAGATGAACCTCCTCAACTTGTTAGAAGATATCTACTCTAGTAAATAAAGAGCTTCACTTCACAGCTCAGCTCTCTGTGAGCCACAAAAGACCAGGTCAGAGTTTATAAAGCTGCACCGACCTGTCTMTCAGTCTAATGCGCCATTGTTCCCTCACTCATGAACAAAGCCCTGAGATATTTGAACTCCTCCACTTGAGGCATAACCTCACCCCCAACTTAGAAAGAGCAATCCACCGTTCACAGATGGAAGACTGAGGACCATGGACTCAGATTTGGAGGTGCTGATCCTCATCCCAGCTGCTTCACACTCAGCTGTGCACCACTCCAGTGAGAGCTGAAGTTCAGAGCATGAAGACGCCAGCAGAACCACATCATCTGCAAACAGCAGAGATGGAATCCTGTGGCCAACGAACAGGACTTCCTCCGACCCCTGGCTGCACTGACAAATTCTGTCTATGTAAGGTATGAACAGAAACTGTGACAACAGGCAGATTCCAACTCCTACTTTGAAGGGGTCCGACTTACTGCTGGCAGTGAGAAACAAACTTGCACTGCTTGTGTACTTGTGTAGCACCCCCACAGTGTACCTCAAGGAACACGGTCGAATGCCTTCTCCAAGTCTATAAACCACATGTAGACTGGGTTAGCAAACTCCCATGACCCTTAAAGGACCCTAGTGAGGGTAAAGAGCTGGTCCAGTGTTCCACGGCCATGACGGAACCCACATTGTTCTCCAGAATCTGAGGTTGGACCATGGATCAGACTGTCTTCTTCAGTARCRCTGAAKAGACCTTACCAGGAAGGCTAAAGAGAGTGATGTCCCTGTAATTAGAACACACCCTCCTTTTTAAAGAGGGGAATCATCACTCCAGTCTGTCAGTCCAGTGGCACTGCCCTGATGTCCACACAATGTTGCAAAGACGTGTCAACCAAGACCTCACAACATCCAGAGCTTCGAAGAACTCAAGGCAGTTCTTATCACCACTGGAGCCCTGCCACCCTGGGGCTTTTTGACCTCAGCCCCAGTTATGGATGGACCTACCCCAAAGACTCAGCTTCCTCTATGAAAGGTGTGCAGGTGGGATTGAGAAGGTCCCAGAAGTATTCCTACCACTGTAACCTTTGGACACTCAGATGAAAAGTGGCTCTCAGCTGTCAACTGATCACCACCTGGTAGTTAGTTGGTTTAGAAAGGGAGAATATGTCGAGCAGAACCAGTAAACCCAAACAAGTAGTGGGGGTTTGCTGGGAACCTGTGGTAGAAGAACCCATCAGAATCACAGAAAAGCCATGTTGCTTTCCTCCATTATGTGAGCTGTGGCTGCAGGGTTGTCCATGGCTCTCAGTTCAGGGAGTCTTGAACTTGGTAGTGGACACCCTGGATGTGGGAGGTTGTGAAGCTGAAGGAGTCCTATTGGGCTTTGTTGGCTGGTAGAACTCCAGAGACAGCTGATGAATATCAGCAGGCCAAGTGGGTTGAAGCCCTGTTTGCTGCTGAGTTTTTATTTTTATTTATTTATTTATTTATTTATTTATTTATTTATTTATTTTACAAATGTGGAATCATTTAAAAGTTAAAAAAAAACTTTTAGTAGAGCCTCTGGACGGGTTCTTCTCAGAGGATCCTCTAAAAAGTTTTTTGATTGATTTTCCTACCTGGATTACTGAGATGCATCAGGTATAAATTAACAGGCTTAAAATCATATCATATTTCATGGTTGACTTCAAGATAATCTTTTGTCAATTAATGTAAAAAAAACTGTGTGCATGTATTTTTCCTCACCAGGAGACA